CCCCCCCCCTTCCCCACAAAAGAAACAGTTTTTGTGGAGCAACGTGGTGAAATCACACGTTCGTCAAAATAATGAAATCAAAGAAAAAGGCATTTTCCCACCAGTCTGGCAATTCTTACCGAAAATTTCTTTTTTGACTAAACACCTTTAATGTTCATATGAAAAGAGATTTCCCTGTGAATCTTTAAAAGTATGTAATTTTCAGTTTCCAAGGACTCTTAAACCTATGAAGTTACCAAACTTTGGCGGCCATTTTCTCATTAAAAAACACACTAAAATCAGGCTATCCCACCTTCTTCAATCGCAAATGTTTCCACTTCTATTAAAGCTAGATGGATATTTTTGTCATTGAAAGCAAGGAAAATGAACAAGCTTTCAGATGATATTGTAAACTCCACAAGCCTAAACATTGACGAGCGCCTGATCCCACCACGTCGTGACACATAATTAAGTATTTATCACCCACCCACCTCCCAGTCAAAGAAACAGTATTCATCCCCCATCCCCTCCCTCCCCACCCCTCCGCAAGGAAACAGTGATCAGCCTCCACCTCCCCCTCCACAACCCTGCCCCCCTCTCCTCTACAACCCCTCACACCCCCCCTCCCCCCCGCCCCCTCACCTTCGCCTGGAAAAAGTTCTTGGCGCCCTTGACCCCCTCGGCGTCGACGTCGATCTCGTCCATGTTCTTGTAGAGGTCGTACAGGCCGCTGTCCTCCTCTAGCTCCCCCGCCGCTGCCTTGCGGAAGATCAGCAGGAACTGTGGGCGGTCGGGATGGCGAGGGGGAAATGGGGGGGAAGCGGTGGGTTTTTTAAGAGTTTTAGTCAGAGTTTTACGGCGCTCACAACTGCATAAGGTCATATGAGTGCCAAAGATTAGAGGTGTTACAAGAGAGTAACAAACAAAAAAAAAAGATGGAGAGGAGATAAAGACGATAGACGTTTGATGGGAAAGAAGAAGCAAAAAACACCAGAGTAGCCGCCATCCACCCACTAGTAAGAGTTTTACGGCACTTGCAACACAATAAGGTCAAATAAGTGCCAAAGATCAGAGGCTTTACAAGAGAGTACTAGTATCAAACATAAAAAAGAAGAAGGGGAGATAAGGACGATAGATGTTTGATGGGAAAGAAGAAGCACACCACACCAGAGCACCCGCCAACCACCCACGCTCTAAAGTTTGGTTGTACTGTCACAGCAAGGTACAGTCTGCTCCAGTCGACTTTTCCATGATTCTACGTATATTATTATGGTGCAAATGCCTGTCACTAAAAATACAACTGCTGAGATATTTTCACTTTGGCTCAAGTCGTAAGGTTCACTTATAGTTAGCCCCGTTTTTATATACGTTTTCTACAAACAACAAAACACGATTTAGGCAACAGTGTTACGACCGCGACATAATCTAGCCAATGAAATGTGCCACGGTGCACCGGGCCCCAGCACCCACCTCTCTGAAGCTAATCTTGTCGTCGTGGTCTTCATCCACTTCGTTGATCATGTTCTTGAGCGACACGTGCGTCTGCGGCACGCCCAACTTCTCCATCATCAGCTTCAGCTCCATGAGGTCAATGAACTTGTCTTTGCCAACATCGTACCTGCAGAGACCGCCAGTCACTTTTCGTAAGAGTTTTACAGCACTTGCAACACAATAAAGTCACATATTTATGTAAGAGCCGAAGATTAGAGATGTTACAAGGGGGTAACAAACAAAAAAAGAAGGAAGAGAGATAAGTCATTTAGTTTTAGTCGAGGTTTTGCAGCGCTCGCAACTGCATAAGGCCATATAAGCGCCAGAAGATTAGAGGTGTTACAAGAGAGTAACAAACATAAAAAAGAAGAAGGGGAGATAAGGACGATAAATGTTTGATGGGAAAGAAGAAGCAAACCACACCAGAGCACCCGTCAACCACCCACTTGTAAGAGTTTTACGGCACTTGCAACATAAAAAGGCCATATAAGCGCCAGAAGATTAGAGGTGTTACAAGAGAGTAACAAACAGAAAAAAGAAGAAGGGGAGATAAGGACGATAAATGTTGTATAGGAAAGAAGGAGCAAGCCACACGAGAGCACCTGCCAACCACCCACACCGGCAGTCACACTTGAGCCAAGATAACCAGCACATCCACACAACAGCCACGGTCATCGAGGGCTGGACAAAAGCAAGACATACACAACCAACAGAAGAGAGGAAAGTGTGTGCGGGGCACAGCGAAAAAAAGTTTGCTCCGAGGAGTGGTCAGGCGTGTCTCAAACCAGCTCCTCATGGAGACAATTAGCAGGAAGACCATGAGGTGGACGCTGGAAAGGAGAGATGAGCAGCTATGGACATGTGCCGCCTGCTATGATTCTAGCTCTGGATCCAAGTGATATCCAAGTGATACAGAACCAACTGAGGGGAGGGAAAGGAAGAAGGACCCACTAGAGGTGCTGGTACTGCCCTATTCATCAAACTGCTCACATTATAAATGATGACGGTACCATCATAGTTATCATTACAAAGACCAAAAAAACTAAATAACGACACTATCTGCCTCCTCAAAAGAGAACAAGAAGTTAATCTTTTGAACACTGACACAACATATTCTGCATAATTTCCATCTCAACCTGATAGCCATATGTGAGGCAGCGTGGTGGAATCAGGCTCTCGTCAAAATAATCAAAGTGTAGAAACTTGCATTTTTTTGCAGGTTTGTGAATTTGTATTAAAATTTTGTTTTTTAGCTCAACACCTTTCATGTCCATTAAAGAACTCATTTCTGTGTGGATTTTTCTGAAAAACGTTGATTAAAGGCTCAAAAAATGTAAATTTTCTGTTACCACGGACTCTTAAGCTAAGGAAATAACTAATCTTTGGCGGCCATTTTTTCACTAGATTTACCTCTGAAAACAGGTGACCCCCACCTCCTTCTTTCGCAAATATCTCGACTTGTATTCAAGATAAAGGGATATTTTTTTCAACCAAATAAAGACAAGTAAATAAGCTTTAAGATGATACCAATAACTCTACATGCCCAAAAATTGACGAGAGCCTGATTCCACCACGATGTCTCACATATATGTGCCTGTAGTGTTTCCCTTTTCCCCAACAAAACACTCGACAATACAGAGCTACCGACCCCCCTCCCTCCCTCCCTGAACAAACAGCAAGCATATATCCCATCAGCCCTCTGGGAGGATACAGAGACGGACCTGTCCAAGACAATCATCCAATGACGAGAAGAAAAGTGGCCATCGCAAACAAGTGGCCTTCTTGGACGGTCATTATACATGTAAAATGAAATAGTGAAAATGGTATGAGTTTAACGCTCCTATCCACACTATTAGGTTATTTAAGGGGCGGGACCTCCTAGTTTCACGTCCGTCTCCGATAGGACCGAGCCAAGTGGGAAGTTCGTGTAAAGTGCCTTTCCCAAGGACACAACGTCGGACCGAGCTGAGGCTCGAACCCCCGAACCCGCAATCTTGCGATTACGAGTCCTGTAGCCTAACCACTAAGCTACCGACGCCATTATACATGAATCATCACAGCAAAAACGCAGGAGGGGAAGAGGGAAGCAGCCATGTGTACAGGTGATCGTCTTATACGGGGTGCCCACTACGGATGGGATCGGCCGATCGCCAGACTCGATCGCCTCAAAAACAAACGTGTTTGTTTTCAGTTTCAGGCGATCGAGTCGGGCTATCGGCCCGATCCAGCTGTAGTGGGCACCCCGTATAAAACAAGTGGCCATAAGAGCAGGTTTGACTGTATACTGTATATATTATGTTAGCCAGATGAAAAATACTTTTAAACAGATTAACTCTCAATCTGTGAGCTTAACAGTAGAATGCTTGCATACAGTGTGCAAAGATGTCAAGAGTCCAAATCAGGTGTTGGCTTCATTCGTCACAAGACTCCTTGAACTTCACTCTAGAAAGTCAATTCAGTGGAGTCCGCTTAAATCTGTACAAGATTAGTCCGAAAACAGTCGTGTAATACAGGTGGAAAAAACCCTTGGAGAATACCAGTGCAGGAAAAATAATAAGCAATATTACATTTTGTTAACAGCTGACGGTATACATTTGAAACAAAAATGAGATTAAAACAGAAAACCCTTTTCAAACAGTTGTAGCTTCAGTAAACGTAAAGTACTTCAAATTCTTCCTGGGGGCTCTCGTGGCCTAGAGGTTAAGGTGTTGGCCTCTCATTCAAAGGTCCCGGGTTAGAATCCGGGCAGCGACCGAAAAATTTTCTTCTCTAAAATTGTCTCCTTTCACCTCCTTTCCTGCTCTCTAGCAATGTTCTGTCGTCTGCTTTCAATTCCACTTTCTGCCCCCACTCCCGCACCTCCTTTGCCCCCTCCTCTGGGCTCCTGACTCTTTCTGCAGCCTTTCTACTGCTACTCCTTGGCTCCTCCTTACTGCTGTCTTTCTGCCACACCCCTGATCTTCTGGTGGGAAAGATCTACACCTAGCCTTCTCGGACAAGGGCAAAAAATCTCGGAGGGCCCGTGTGCAAGTTGCAAGTTAAAGATCCCTTGGTGGTCTAAAATCGATAAGAGTAGGCTTCGGCCGCCACCCGGGCAAAATTCAAAATTTCCTACCAACTGAAAATATTAGGTGTGTCCCGCGCGCTCATATGACCCTATGCAGTTGCGAGCGCCGTAAAACACTTTACAAAAACAAAAAAATTCTTCCTAATCATCAAAATCTATTCCTTTGACTTTGTTCCTTAAAATTATAAATATTGGCAAAGGTAGTCTATTATGAGAAGATATATATAAAAATAACCATTCGAAATGACAAGCCACTCAACATAACTAGACTTACTTGTTGAAAGTTTTCTGAAAGTCTTGGATCTGTTTACGGCTGAACTCTTTGAACTCTGTGTAAGGGTTGAAGACATTCGTGGAAGGGAGAGACACGCTACCCTCCTCTTCCTCGTTGATTATCTGCCTCCGATTGAGTTTCGCAGCAAGTTCATCAGTTGCCATATTGTTACTCAGACCTTGGTCCTGTACAACAATGGCACATTTTGATAAGTCATTATGCATGTTATAATATTTATACAAAAACAATTACGGTGATGCTGACTTTTTAAAAACTTTTCTCTACTGGTTGTCTAATTTAATAATGGCTTTTTCATGCTTTTCGATTAAATAAAATGATGTATGTTCAACTAAAGACAGTGGGCTGCAAGAACGTAACAACTCCACCACTTGTCCACTTACGTGACGGCACACAGTTCGAGTCTTTCTGTGTGAAAGTCTCGAAATGGAAAGCTTGTGGCTTCACCAACTGGCAAGAAGTGTATGAAATTACACAACGTGAGGCAAACAAATGTGTATATTAGGCTTAAATAAACTGACAAATCCAACCGCATCCGATGAAGCATGCACAAATAGATCTAGGTCAAAATCAATCAAATTTTTAAAAGACCTTCCTCCTCTTATCTTAGGGGACGTCTTAGAGGTCTATTCTTAGGCACGGGACAGGCCAGGGTTACGCTTTGCTAACTCTGTTCTACTCGAAAATTTGGGTCTGACCCAAGTCAGACATTCTAAAATCAGACTCGGACATCTCATTTTTCAATCACCATCATCATGGGGGTTCATTTTCAGCATCATTTTTCTATAAGATCTGACCTAGATTCTAGATCTAGTCTTTGGAAGTGGCTATCCTCAACCCGGGTGAGAATAAAAATACAGTCGACCTCTCACCCTGGGTGAGACTTGCCAGCGTTGGCTATTCTCACCCGGTGTGAAACAAGAAATGTTTTTCCTAATTTCTGAATACTGCCTATCGGTGTGGATGATGAAACAGACAAAAACAAAGAAAAACTGACGCTACAGCATAAAAGTAAGGTAAGTTGGTTGTCTACAAGATGCAATGGCTTTTTCACTTTTCGAATCAGGCCGAACTACACGCGGGTCGCCGTTTTGTTTTGCCCGAAAGTTCTCGCGCTAGGGCCTACTCCTCTCTCTCTCTCGAGTCCGAATAGACACAAATTATATTCGGACTCAGAATGGAATCCAGCAAGACGTCCATTCCGACTTCTGACCCTTGTTCCTAAATATTTCCAGCATTTACGAACATTATTTTGATTATAATGATAACAGTCAAGACGTGAACTTTAACATCCAGTTACTACATCTATCTAAACTGGCCCTCCCTGAATCATTAGTATGAACAGAACGACTAAGTTGAGCTGACCTTGCCAGGGGCAAAGTTAATTATGTCGACCAATGAGACTGCGGGAAGCCATCACGCACTCTCGGCTTATGGGGGAAGAGGTGTTGGGAAAAAGCTATGGCTGTCGGTTTTGTGTGGCATGATTTTTTAAAATAATTACAGAAAAACTATAACACAGAACAAAATCAAATAATTAAGGAAGAGGCTAGCCGTACTTAATGACGGCTAGACTGCTAGGCTAGCGGCTAGACAGCTGGGCTAGCCGTACTTATATGGCTAGACTGACAAACCAAAAAAAAATAGGCCTACTGAATTGTAAATAAATTTTTAGTTTGCAGTACCTAAAGTATTTGCATTTGAGACAAAACCAGGTGTCTTACTGACAGAGCATGTATTCTAAACCTGAATAATTATTAATGAGGCCTGTTTTCTAATGTTAATAGGGCCTTTCTAAGATAAGTTCAGATAGACTGGCAGGCAAGCCGTACTTAATAATGATGGCCGAATTGCAAATATGAAATTTTTAGTTTGCAATGCCTAAAGTAGGCTAAAGTATATTTATATTTCAGACAAAACCAAAAGGAGCCTTACTGACTTGTATTTAATTTTAAACCTGAATAATTACTATATCGAGATCTAATGAGACCTCTGTGTATAATAAACAGGTTTGAGTAGATAGGGTCAAACCTAATCTCAGTACGGCTAGACTGGCAGTTAAGTACGGCTAGCCACTTCGAATAATTAAACATGGAAAGACAAATGGCGGTGGAAGTAATGGTGAGGCTGTAGTGGGGGTGGAAAGACCCTGAGTTGTTGGTTACTGTGTACTTAGATACTGCTATAAGGTAGATCTAATGAGAGGGCAGTCTTTTGACACAATTACACAGCCCTAAATCAAGATCTAATACTAATAGCTATAATAAATAATTCTAGTTAAGTTTTTTACATAAAAAATCCCCCTACGACAGTCACATTATGTAACCTCCTTACACTCGCATAACTCACTTAGAAGTTGAGTCCAAATAAATAAAACATTTTTTTCGGACCCTAGTCCGAATAGATAAACAGAGTGTCTATGTACACGGTAACTGGGCACCTAGTCTCACCTAGTCTCAGTATCTACGAACACGGTAACCGGAATGAAAATAAATCAATCTGTCCTGTGCTGTCACTTGCTGAAAAAAAAAAGGAAGTCATACAAGCGTCTTGTCGGGTTCGCCATCCTGACAGGTCAGTGAACCTGAGCATGTGCATCACATTGTGAGTACCGGTTGGGGTCACCAAAGTTCATTCAAAATCTGTGCGCTGCGAAGTATAGGGCTCCGGAATTTGGGGGGGGATTATTGATTTTTTTTTAAAGGTACAGTCGGTGGAGGGGTGGGATGAAGGAAACACAGAATGACAGAAACTGAACTTGGAGTTCTGCGAACTGCCCGGTTACCGTGTACGTGACACCAGAGAGTACTTTAAAATTAGTCTCTGGTGACACTGAGACTACATGAGTCTACATGCCCGGTTGCCGGTTACCGTGTACGTATATATATTGAGGCTACATGCCCGGTTACCGTGTACATGACACTGAGACTACGTGCCCGGTTGCCGGTTACCGTATAAGTAGACACTGAGACTAGGTACCCGGTTACCATGCACGAAGACACTCCGATAGATAAAACCCCGGACTCGAGTCCGAATAGAGATCAGATAGGCCGTCTTCCCCCCCCCTCCCCTTTCTCTCTCACTGCCCACAGACAAAATTGCACGCTTTCAACAAAGGCCACCTCTATTCTCACCCGGAGTGAGAATAGTGCAGGTGAGTCTTGTGGCTATTCTCACCCGGTGCGCGTTCACCAAATTTTGCGTTCACCCTAAACAACAGAATTCTACACTGTGATAACAGAAAAATAGTAGAATTCTGTGCCGTGAACAAACGTTCCATTACAACTGTAGTCTACTAAAAGCGTACAATTTTGTCTGTGGGCAGTGGAGAGAGAGAGAGAGAGAAAGAGAGAGAGGAGTAGCGCGAGAATTTCCGGGCAAAACAAAATGGCGACCTGCGTAGTTCGGCTCGATTCGAAAAGTTAAATAGCCGTAGCATCTTTGTAGACAACAAAATTAATTTACTTTTGTGTTTTAACATCATTTTTTAACTTTGTTTTGGTCAATTTGATCTTCCACACCGATAGACAGTATTCAGAAAGAGACAGAGAGAGAGAGAAGAGGGGAGGAGTTGATCTTGCGAGAACTTCCGGGCGGGTGAGAATAGCCACTTTCTTCAACAAAAGAGCACTAGAACGTTTGTTGGTGTGAACACTACACTGGTTGGCCTATCATGGTGAAGGCACACCGGGTGAGAATAGCAAAAAAGCTCGCCCGCACTATTCTCACTCGGGTGAGAATAGAGGTGGCCCTGCCTCTAACTCTAGTTTTTACCTCAATCAACTCCTTATTACTAATATTACTCCTAGATCTAGACTCTAGTACCTGAAAATGTTTTGACCGTGAGCGCGTCAGCGAAACTTGACAAAGATCTGGATCAAGAAAAGCTTGCCTATGGAGCTTCAGCTGCTGCTGCGAGATGTGTGAAATGCTGTTACTGTCACTGGTTGTCAGAAGACCATCAACAGGACCAGACTCAGTAGAGTGGGAGAATCCAGCAGAAACTAGATGTTATCTGCACAGAGCGTTGCTGATTTTCTTTGTACTTTTCAAACGATGAAAGCAGTACAAGAGCTCAAGCAATCACAGTGCTAACATCCAAAATCCGGCGATGTAATTGTAATGAGTTTATGAGGAAAAGGAGCTGTTCTGTTGTTGGTCCCTCTCTTCTTTCCTAAGGCACACGACCCCCAAGTAAATCTAGAATTTCACTTCCGGGTTTACATCCACTTCCACTTCCGGCCCAGCTGGGGAGAAATACACAGTGATCTAATACACATAAATTGTAAAATTAAGGGAAAATACTCTAGTCTTCATGTAAAACACGGAAGTAGCACGCTGTATAATATAGAAAGCGGGTAGGTCAGATTGTTTGTTTAGTATAGGGTTTTACGGCGCTCGCAACTGCATACGGTCATATGAGCGCGCGGGACACACCTAATACTTTTTCGTTGGTAGGAAATTTTGAATTTTGCCC